ATCTTTAATTATACATCAGCTCTATTCATGAAAAATTCTAGAATCATTTGATCTAGGGACATAATGATTGGTTAGCATGAAATAGGAACACAAATAGGACCACAATAGCAACAATTAAGGGATAAGTAGTACTTCTTCCAATATTACACCAGTTTTGTGCGCAAGTGGCTATGCACCCATGGTACAGTTCATCGGACAGATGGAATTGTCCGCAATGTGTGTGAATTCCACCCAGTTTTTGCATGGAGCAACGTCGAATGCAAATTTTCTGTCCATCACTCACACGTCGCCCCTTGATCTTCACACAATAGCGTGCATAGCTTAAGCCTGCGTAGCCTGATCTGCCTTGTCGACAGGGGGCTTCGACAGGAACAGCCCCATCCATAGGATCTTCGCAACTTGGATTGCTCCCATTGATTGAAACGCATACGTAACATGCGAGACCAGATCCTATGCATAAACCAATTCAGCGACTCTTTGTGATTCTTTAAATCTCATCAACTTACAATCAATGAGCTACGCCTATTTATCAAAACGTTTGATTTTCGGCTCATAATGCAAAAATGGAGAAGGATTTCGATGAAGCATTGTAATGCATTTAAGAATCACGATTTTTTATAAGAATGCCATATTATACGTTAGAAATAGTGGGTTTTTAACAAATATTTAAATCACTAAGCGCTTTCCAATAAGGATAAAGTGGTTTAATCTTCAATACGCAACAATTTTCCTTTGAACTTTTACATACCTTAAAACGCTGTAATTTTCCAGGATGTCTTTTTCAATAAATTAATGCGTTTTTTAAAGTGCTTACCTTCGGGTGGAAGCAAAGCCGCAACAATCGCAAAGATTTTTAAGAGTACAAATAGGTTACGTGGCATGGATTCCAATTTTTTCGGTACTGAACGGGCTCGTGCTAGACTTGCAGTTACAATATTACTAATGGAGTTCTGCGTCGGAGGTTTAAATGCGCAATGTTTACTACGCCCTTGTAGTTACATCGTTCCATGTGCTCGCTTTCGCCATTCATTCTAATTGCATTTGTTATGGCCGTTCAACAGTGGCTAAACGTTTCAAAAGGGAGAATGTTTTATTGACAGCGCAGTTGCGTTGCACTGAATGCAAATGGTGACATGCAGAACATGAACAAGGAAAAAGGGTTCACATGTACCTCAGTCATTGTGGTGGAGGCTTGGATTTAGGATTGGGGTATGTGGGCGAAAACACAGTGCCATGAATTACAAGATGAACCCTATGTGCGTATTTTAGGAAAAAGAAATAACAGTATGATTCTCCGATCATAAAATAATAACCTTGAATGTGTATGCTAGTTATTGGTTATGTTAGAGCTCAAAGAAAAAAATGTCTGCATGCGTAAATTAAGGTACAACTGGAATATAAACACATTGATTGGGAAATTTTATTTGTAAATCATTATCCAAAGGTATTTGCTTT